GGTTTCGATGTTTATATTATAGATTTAAATGCTGAAAACACTCACAAAACAGAGTTTCATTACATTTTACCTATACTTATTATGTTTACAGTTTGACAGTTACAGTTTTACATTCCCAGTTTTACATTTTCTCTACATCTACCGATCGGTTTATATGGCAGCTATATGATATAGTTGTCCGATTTTTATGAAATTTATAGCATAATTCTAGAATAATAAAAAAAGCTTATATCTCAGAGTAGATAAACATACGTTGAAAAACAACGAAACTATAATTTTTTTTCCTATTTATTTCTCGACCGTTCCTATGGCAGCTATATCATATAGTCGTCCGATTTTGATAAAAAATGCAAAAATGTTGAAAAACAGCAAAGTTATAATTTTTTTCTACAAATATATCGAACATTTGTATGGCAGCTATATGATATAGTCGCCCGATCCGGCCCGTTCCGACATATATAGCAGTGAGAGCATATAGAAGACTATATGCAGTGTTTCATTGAGATAGCTTTTAAACTGAGGGACTAGTTTGCGTAGAAACAGACAGACAGACAGACAGACGGACAGACGGACAGACAGACAGACGGACAGACGGACATGGCTAGATCGACTCGGCTGTTGATGCTGATCAAGAATATATATACTTTATAGGGTCGGAAACGTCTCCTTCACTGCGTTGCAAACTTCTGACTGAAATTATAATACCCTGCAAGGGTATAAAAATCCACGGTTTGTGTGTGTTTCTCTCTACAACCCCCCCCATCCACTCCTCTTTCCTCTCTTTGCTTTTTATTTGAAAATTTTTATATTCTCTGTTTTTTATTTTTTTAATTTTAATTGTGCCATGAAAAACGCCTGGCAGAAGCTGGAAAGCGTAGGAAAAGGTTTAAGGGAACTTAAAGAGAATAGGAAGGATTTTTAAAGATAATTCCGAATAAATTATTTAATAATTTATAGTGGAAAATGTATAAGAAATAAGTATAAAATTAATATATTGTAAATAAATATAAATAGATATAAAATAAATATAAATAAATACAAAATAAATATAAAATAAATATAAATAAATATAAATAAATATAAATAAATATAAATAAATATAAATAAATATAAAATAAATATAAATAAATATAAAATAAATATAAATAAAAATATAACTAACTGTTTTTTATAACGATATATATCGCATATATTTTTTTTGTTGTTGTTGAAATTGGGTTTATTTTTTGGTGAAAAAAGTTTGAGGTTCTTGAAAGTCAATTTTAGTTATTTTATTTTAATTATTTTTATACCCTTGCAGGGTATTATAATTTCAGTCAGAAGTTTGCAACGCAGTGAAGGAGACGTTTCCGACCCTATAAAGTATATATATTCTTGATCAGCATCAACAGCCGAGTTGATCTAGCCATGTCCGTCTGTCCGTCTGTCCGTCTGTCTGCTATATATGTCGGAACTGGCCGGATCGGACGACTATATCATATAGCTGCCATACAAATGTTCGATAAATTTTTAGAAAAAAAATTATAACTTGGCTGTTTTTTAATATTATTCCATCATTTTTGAGATATGGCCATTTTATATTATTCCAGAATTTTTATAAAAATTTTATAAAAATCGGACCACTATATCTTATAGCTGCCATAGGAACGATCGGGAAATTAATCGAAAAAAATTATAACTTCGTTGTTTTTCAACGTATTTTAATCTACTTTGGTACATAAGCTTCTGGTATTATTTCAGAATTTTGGTACAAATTTCATGAACATCGGACGACTATATCTTATAGCTGCCATAGGAACGAGATATGAGATATGAGATATGAGCTTTACTTATTATTATAGAATTTTTGTATTAATTTTATGAAAATCGGACAACTATATCATATAGCTGCCATAGAGGCGATCCGTAGATGTAGAGAAAATGTAAAGCTGGGAATGTATAACTGTAACTGTCAAAATGTAAACATAATAAGTATAGGTAAAATGTTATGAAACTCTGTTTAGTGTCTGTTTTCGGCATTATAATTTATAATATAAATATGAAAACCAATCTGCAAGGGTATACAAACTTCGGCGTGCCGAAGTTAGCTTCCTTTCTTGTTTTAAATAATTTAATTAATGTATTCGTTTTTTTTTTAATATTTATTTTACTCGAATTATTTTCACATATATTTTTTTTATGATTTTATAACTGAAGTATATTTTATATATTATATTTTTTGAATATTAATATTTATTATAACTTTATAATCTTAAAAATATTAACAAACTGCTTAGAAAACCCCCTAGACCCTAATTTTTATGTAGGGCATCTTTTCGCACACAAAACTGTTATATACACGTACATATCTATGTGAACTTGTGTCTTCTGCGAATGCGTCTGTGTTTGTGCGTTCCCTCCAAATCGCTCTTCTAAGCACCCCGCCCCCTCCCCGCCCCCTTTAACCCATCTCCGTCCGTGTCTATGTGTGTCAAATTTCCAATTGGGTCGCACGCACAAGCTACTTTGTTGTTGTTTGCGAATTTTTTGCGTTTGCTTGTGTGAGTTTTTGTTGTTGTATTTTTTTTTTGCGAGCGCGTTGATCGCGGAAACGAAACAAAAACCTTGCCTGTGTGTGTGTGTGCATTTATTATTCTCAGTGTGTGTGCTTGTGTGTGAACGCATTGCGTAATCGGCGTTGTACTCTTGCTCTAGCTGGATTTGTTGCTATTTTCTTTATATTTGTTTGAATTTTTTTTTGTGTGGACAGCAGCTTGACAACAAAACAAAGCAGCCCCCCCAAAAAAAAAGAAATAAAAAAAATCGTTGGGTTAACTTGGTGGCTTTTGCCTAGTTAGCGCCTTAAAAAAAAAAATAGAAAAATCCAGACACACATTCATATGTAGATTTGCTGGGATATATGTTTGGCGGTACAAAAGCAGTTAGAAGTCAAAAGTCAAAGCAAAAAAAAAAAAATAAATAAAGAAAATAAAATAAAGAAAAAACTCGAAACCCATGTAGAAAACCAGAAAAGAGCTGGAGAAATTGGGAAACCCAAAAATTTCGAGAGCCAAGATATGTAGTTATAGTTAAGTTAATAGTTTTATAGACTTTGTAGAGTTTTAACATATATATAATAAATTACTTATTTATTTGCTTCAAAAAAAAAAAAAATATTAATATATATCGAAATATTAATATAGATCGATATATTATTTATTTTAATTTTTATTACATGTTTATTTTAATATATATATTTATTTTAATATATATATTTATTTTTATTAATTTATATTATTTACATTTTAATTTATTAATGAAATTTAAACTATTTACTAATTCTATTTAACATAATTCACGGAATATAAATAATAATCCTTTGAAGTACTCACCAAACTCCACCTTAAATTCCAATTAATGTTCCTTATTTTTTACAATTTCCCAAATATATACAATTAAATATTAAAATGTAGTATTACATATTCTAAAAAATCATAAATTCAAATCTTCCATAAAATATCCTTTAAAACTTATATTTTTAAAATTTCTATATTAGTTTTTCTTTATTTCATTTTAATCTTTTGACCAAATCTTCTAGTCTTGTTGAATTCTTCTTCACCAAGACAGGTAGGAATATACAAATTCTCCGAAAATATACCGTAAAATAAAAAAAACCCAAAGATTCGTCACATAGGCAGTAAAAAAAGACAAAATAGATAAAAATAAAACAAAAAACATAATGAAATGCCTTTGACTTTTGTACAGTTGTTTCAGGCTTGTTTCTTTACTAATTCTTCTGTTCTTCTCTTTCTTTCTGTCTCTTTCTCTATGCGGAATTGAAATGCTTCTTTTTGGTGCCTCTTTTTTTTCGTTTGCGAAATTAGCAGCCGCAGTTTTGCGAATTTGTCTTTTCTTTTATTTCTATTTGCTGTGCCTTTTTATTTATTTAATTTTTGTTTCTTTCTTTTCTATGTTTTTTTTCGTTTTTTTTTTTTAGGGTAACGCACAAAAGCGCTTTGAAGAAGAGTTGTCCCCGAATTTGGGTCAAATGCTCAAACTGCCTGCGTGCTGTCGATTTTTTTTTTGCGAATTTTTTTTTCTGCCCGCCTTTGCTGATTTTATTTATCTTTTTTTTATGATTCTTTTTTTTTTTTTGTTTTCTTTTTCTTTTTATGTGTGTGCGTGGCTGCTGTTAATGTTTTATTAGCCATTGTGGCCGTTGTTGTTTTTGGTGCTTAACTAACGGTTCATCAAAATGATTACGCCCGCTTGGAAACAAGTAAAAAAGAAGTTGATAAAACAAAGCAAAAACAAAAGCAACAAACATTTACAAAAAAATAATAATAAAAATGAAAAGTAAGAGAAGAACAAGACGAAATAAAATGCCATAAAATTGCCTAGGAAATTGTTAATGTTTCTATTTGAATTATAGTATTTATAGGGGAATTGGAAAGGTCTTCTCACATATTGCAAAGGAATTGATCTTTGTTTGGAGATTAAACATGTTTTTTTAAATTAAATATTTAAAAATATTGTACTGATTTATTTATAAATGTATTTCTTATATATTTTTTATATAATTTACTTTATAATTATTGTTTAAATAACTATACATTCATTATGTACATGTTTTTTAAGTACATTTTCCTTAAAAAACATTAAAAAGATTAGTTCATTAATAAAGCTTGCTCTAGTGATGGTTGAATGTAATATAATAAATCGATAATTTATCAATATATAAATCTATGCTTTTATCTTGCAATATATATGCAATAAAGGAAATGCTGTTTGACTTTATAAAAAATCTAAAGGTAGTTTTAACTACAATTGTTGGAAATAATTATTTCTTAAAACTTAGTTTTAGATAAATCGATACATTTAAAAATATATCAGTAAAAGTTATCTGAAAAATAGAAAGAAATTGTAGTTATTTGATATATTTCTTGAGCTTGCCCACCCCCACAAGGCAATTCTTAACAATCTCAGCTGTTTCCAAAATTTATTACAAAATGGACTTCATATCGTGGTTGATTTTTTTAAAAAATGACTTGAAATTTGTACAATAGATTTTTTTGGTTTACTAACAATTAACATTCTAAGGTGCTGATTGTGCGAAAATTCTAAATTACATATAGATATTCCCTATTACTATCCGAAAGTGTGATCTCCTCTATTTTTGGTACTTTCGAGTCAGGCTTAGCGAATGCGCTGTCGACGGGCATTGTTAATGCGAGCAATGCTAGGCATGTATTTCTTATTATTTTTATTTTTGGTCTCCAGCTCTCGCTTGACTCTCTTGGTTACCTTTAGCATTAGGGCATTATTTTTGTCACTTGACGAATGCGTTTCCTCCTCATCAGACTCTTTGGAATCACTAAAAAGTCGCACTACTATTTTTCGTTTATTGTTGTTCGTTTCCCGGCGGCGATCAGTGCTGACCTTTGATAGGAGTTCGCTAATAGATCGAACCAAATGTACACGTATAGGATGATCTTGGTTGCTAAAATTAAAATATATTATTTATTTATATAAAATTATATATATATATATATAAGCTTTTCACCTACCTGTAAACCTGTAAGTTGGTTTTGAGTTTAGGTTGATTGGGTGTCACCTTCAAATCTAGCCTTTTCTGGTTGTCGACCTTGGGCCGCTTTTCTGATAGCAATGTTGGTTTTGGTTTTGGATTCTTATTGGTAAGCTGGGTCTTTGGACCGATAAGCTTCTTTTGCAAGCCGACATGTTGGGGGTTTCGTTCAGGCATTGGTATGGGCAGCTCTGCAAACTGTTCCTAGAAATACAAATTAAACCAAAAATGTACCAAACATTAAAACAAACATTTATCCAAAATTAATCGATATCAGTAAATCCACAAAAATTAAACAAAAATATCGAAAGTCAACAAAAAATTAAACCAAAAATTGATCGATATCAATTGAATATCATCAGTAAATCCACCAAAATAAACCGAAAATATCGAATAATATCGAAAATCAACAAAAATTTAAACCAAAAATGTATCGATATTAATTTAAAATCTTTAGAAAATCCACAAAAATAAGCAAAAATAATAATAAAAAAAATGAAACCCAAAGTTTATCGAAAATTAATCGATATTCATTAGTAAATTCACAGAAATCTTACCGAATTATAGGACTCCCGCTGGCGTTGGCTTAAATCCGGCCAGACAATTCGGGCCCACTTCAGGCCCATGTAGATGCCACAGTTGTGCATGATGCACATCTCCCGGACAAAGTTGTAGTACTGCTTCGGGTTGGCATCACTGGGCTTTAAGTGGCTAATGGCCTTGATCAGGTGGTGCGGATCAAGCTTCGGATTCTGGCCAAGAGGGGGGCGTATACTCCGGATTCTGATGCCAGACATTGCGAGTAAATTTGGCTTCAGGTCAAGGTATTATTTTCTATTTGAAATGATTTCATTAACCAAACAAAAAATCTTGCAAAGTTATTACTGGAAAATGTACAATTTTTATTCGATTTGAAAAATATATAAAAGTAATTTTTTTTTTATGTCTACACTCTATGAGCTCTAGAAATAAACTCAATGCGAAGGTGTTTCTAGCTACGAACTGCGACAGATGTGTGGGAATTAAGAGTCAGGGATTACTTGTTGGTTAACTAAGATTTGTATTGTAAAAATTATAGAACTAAATTTATTTAGAACTAAATTTATTGATACTTGGATTAATCGATTAATGAATTGATTGATTTATAAACAAAAATTATACAATAAAGAAATAAAAAATGTAACCCCCTATGTTACAGTTAACAAAGAATTTCGATTGATTGACAAGCTTGACCGGAAACCGATGGCCTTACTTAAAAAAAAAAAATACAGGATTATCCCTGAAATTTACCTTGTATATAGTTTATCACAAGTAAATATCCGCCTATACAGTGGGTTATACTTGTTAAAAGACCTCTTAAATAATTAAAATAATTATCTACAAGTTATTTATTATTAAGATTTATTTGTAGATATGTTATTATACCCTTTCATGGAGGCCCCAAAACTAAAAATGGCTGCCAATGGGTTAAATGTGCCACTAGTAAAGCACCCTCTCTTTCTGGCTCACACTCAAAGCTACTGAACTATTTTCAACCCGCACACACACACTCGCACACACACACACCTACTGTGGAGGGTTAGCAACCCTTATTGTGAGTGTGAGTTCTCACCCTCAATGGCAAAACTGAAGCATTTGTTCGACCATTAAATGCGTTCAAGCCAAAGACCAAGGAGAAAGAAGAAATGGAAGGGGTTAGGAAGGAGGGGAGGAAGAGGGGCGTAAGTAAGGGTAGGTAGAGTACAGGTAGGGTTGCAAGAATAGGAACAGGAAGAATAGTGTGTATTTCTCTAGCTTCTGGTATGTGTGTGTGTGTGAATGTCCTTAGCTGAAATCGAGCTACCAAAGCCTCTCCTAAAAAAATATATAAAATGAAATAGGGGAAGGGAAAACTAGCAGCACATACCACGCCCCCTGTTTGACCTACACTAAGAGAAAAAGGAGGTGATTTTAATACAAGTATATATATAGTTTAATTAAGAATGTTTATCAAAAAATATAATAATAAAAGTGGAGAATAAAATGTATGGAAGTTTATTTATAGTAGGCACTGCCTTTTAAGTTAAAAATTCTATGTATAAATATCTTAAATGTTCAATCTTAAATATACATTATTTTTAGTCTTTAGTATACAAGTTAATTAAGCAAAAATTCATTAGTTTCTAATGAAATTATTTATAAATTAATTAGTTAAAATAAAGGATAAAAAGACTTGAAGCAACAAGTTATAGAAAAAGCTATTTTCTGACTTAAGGTAAACAGCTGATTCCTGTACTAATTAAATATATTATATGTATATAAAAAAATTATATAATATAATTATTTTATAAAAAAATATATTTAATAATGCAACTAATAATTTTAAATACCAACTTTTATTTCAACTTGAAAATATAATTAATTATAATGTTTAAATAATTTATAATGTTAATATTAATGTTCTCAGACTTTTGTCTGGCAGTGTACATTTTTGAGCCTTGTCTTTGGGCTTTGCGTGTTTCAATTGTTTTTTTTTTTGTTGTTTTTATTTACTGTTTTATTTTGTTTTTGTTGTTATTTTTATTGCTTGTATTTTTTTTCCATTTATTATTGTTGTTAGTGCTTTTTTTTTTGGGGGGGGGTCATGTTTTGCGATTTAACAACAAATATTTGGGCTAGCTAGCTAGAGGACTTTCTTTTATATTTTTGTTGTTGTTTTTATTTTTATTTTTTTTATTTGTTATTACGTAAAGAATTGCAGTTCAGAAAGAGAAAGACAGAGAGAGAGAGAGAGAGTGCGAAAGAGAGGGACATAGAGGCAAGCGGCCATTGGAATGAAGTTATAGTACAGGTAAACATATATGCAGGTGTATGTATATGTATATATATCTCCCTTTTTTTTTTTGCCCAACGAATCGCTGGAGCGTGCAGTGTGCAAGGGAGATGGGTAGGTAGGGTGGGGGGTGGCATAGGGAGAGATGTCTCGTGTGAAAATATGTTTTCTTTCATCTTCTTTTTTTGTGTGTTTTTTACACAATTTGCATTTGCGCAAAAAGTGCAAATGTTGACACACGCAAAACTCGGCAGCTTATTAGTGTCCATGTGTGTGTATTGGTGTGTGTGTGTGGACACACACATGCGTGTATAGGTATACGTGCAGTGTCCGCCATTTTCCTGTCCAGCAGTTTGCTCACTTTTTTCTTCCTTTTTTCCCCCCATTTATAATTTTATTTGTATTTTCCTTTGACCCTTCCCCCTCTCTCCCTTTATACGAATTGCACTTAATGAAATTCTTTTTTAACGTATTTCCCATCTCTTTCTCTCATTGCAGGTGAGTGGCGCTTGTTTATTTATTAATGGATTTTTCATTTCCCCTGAGAACCATTTTGACACAAGGATGGGCGCCCAGCAAGCAAACTTGACGTCATGGCGGAAAACAGAAAATCAAAAATTAACGAAAAAAGGTAGCATCGAAAATAGGGGTATATAAATATATATACATATATACATGGTATATATAGTGTGCTAATTGGGAAAAGGCAGGGTAAAAAATTTAAGTGTAAATCAATTGGAAATAATTCAATGGCTCCTGCCATCGTCGAGGCTTAATGAAAATGGAATCGATCAAATGATTTTCCCTAATTGGCTTCCACAGCAAGTGGGTTTTTTTTAAAGTAACTTTTTAATTTATTAAAAGGAATATTTAATGTTTTGAGTACATTCTTAAATTTAATTTAATCGGAGACTAAATTTTGAGCAGTGGAAACCGTTTGTTTACTAATTGTATAGCTAAAAATTTGCTGCCTCATCTGTAAATGTGTGGGTTGAAAAAGTTGCGTGTGTCAACAAATAAAAATAAAGAAAAACAACCAACAAATGAGGGCCTCCAAAAGTCTTGGAGATTTCCTCGGTTTGCTGCAATCGAAAGAATTGAAAAGTAAACACCAAACAAAGTGGCAAAGTAGTGGCCGAGGATAAACAAAAGGAATACAAGCGAAATATGACAATGTTTTGAAGGGAAAGAAAAGATAAGAAAGAAAAAAGGAGGAAAAAAATCGACTTAAGTCCAATTCTTACTGAAATTAAGCCTAATAATATCTCTGCAATCTAAACTCAAAAAACGTGAGAGAATTCAGTGTTTCTTACTCATTCACAGCAGAAAAAAATATTTAGAAATAAATGAAACTTTTATCGATCGATTTATCGATACTTTAATATGGGTATATCGAAAATTGATCGATTTTAGGCGCTTAAGACGATAAATAAATCAATATCGAATATTAAAAAAGAAAATATACCTAAAAAGCAGCAAATTAAAATTGAATGAAGTACTTAAATGTCTCTCCCTTTCTCACTCTGATATATAATTATAATAATTTTGAATGAATTTATAAAACTCTTTTCTCAGTGCATAGATGTAATGTTTACGTTTATGCCCCTTTTTTTCTGGGATCTTCTTCTCTTTGGGTTGCAAGTGTTGTGCTTTTGGCATTTTCCGGCATGACGGAATAAACTCGGCTTCAAACCCACTATTCCAGGCACAGAGCACCTACACTTTGTGCCCCGAAAGCTACCTGGCAACCTCCCACTGATTCTGTTTTAAGAAATGATACTTACCTTTAGATGCCCTTTCTTTTTTTTTTTAATCTAAAATGAAAAGAATATCCTTTTAGAATTAACCTTATGAAGTAAAAAAATAGGAGGAAAGTTAGATATCTAATTAAGCAAGAAGCTTGACTTCCCCAAATATTTTTGAGGCTATTTTTTTTGGTGTTTCTTCTCACTGAAGCTCCCTATGTTGCTCTTGTTGTTGCTGTTTCAGTTGCAATTTTCGTTGCTGTTGTTGCACTTTGGTTTTGGTTTTTTGCTGCACGCAGAGCACGCATTTCCAGCGTGAAATGCAATTTCTGCGCCAGAGGAATTTCAATTGTGTTGGTGTGGCCCAGAAGGGAGGGGGTTTGCATGGGGGAGGAGATTCGTCTTGGGTTGCACTTGAAAAAACAAAAATGTGAGAGCGATGTAGAAAGAATTATATTTATTATAATTATCTAAATTCTTTTCTCTATAATTCTTTTTTTTAAAGTATTAAAAATTTTTGTACATTTTTATTTTAGCAACTAAATATTTATATAGAAAATAAACCTACTTAATTTTTCAAGTTTTTTTTTCCCTGAAGAATCCTTTTTCTCTAGGTGCTTGCATGTGTATAACAACTACAGCTCAGAAAGTCAGAAATAAACGGATGGATGATGGCCCAAGTCAGTCTCGGTCTTCATTCTACGCTCTGCAGTCTTCAGGCCTTGCTGCAGCAGTCTACAGTCTTGAAATCATAGTAGTCTTTGGCTTGCTGAGACCAAATCTTAGTTCAGTTTTGGCGTTCGTCAGTTTGTCAGTCATTCAGTTAGTCAGTCATTCAGCCAGTCAAACGCACGACGCTCACGCAGAGCACGCAACTTGAATTGTCTTCGCTCTTGGCCTTTCTTCCACACATCCCCACAGCTTCCTCGTTTCTTCTCCTGTTTTCTTGATCTTCTGTGTGGTTTTTTACATCTTCTTGTTGTATTTTTTTTAATGTTAGTTGATCTTGGAGGCCACAGCAAATTGCAGCTCTAGCAGACAGACATCCAAATCTATGGTGGCTCTTTTTTTTGTAGTTTTGGTTTTGTGCGGGTGTTTCTTCTACTGCTGTAGCCTCGATTCTTCTGGCTGTTTCAAATCGGGAAGAAGCGGAGCCAAAGCAGAGATCACTTTGATCTTGATAAGCAAATCAAAGTGGAGCATGAGAAGAATCGTACAGAAGAGTGTGGCCAGAAGAATTGCTCAGAGGAAAAAGTGGCGAAGATTTGTTGAATTTCTAAGCTGTAGAATGTAGAAAAGAGAATTTAAGTATTTTAAACTTATTTATAATTATTTTTATAACTTATTTATATTAAATATTCATCGAAGCTATAAATAAAACGTACCCTAAGCCTAGGGACTTCAAGGAAATTACCATTTTAAATACAGGATAACCCCTG